TCGCTACTCAAGGACTATTACTAATAGTCCTCTAGTAGCGTAGCCAATCAAAATGCAGGATTTGCATTAGTCCACTAGTTGGGTGATACTAATTATTTTTAGTTCCAGCGGTTTCTAGTTATAATTAAATTTCAACCTGCACCCTGCACCCTGCACCCTGCAAAAAAGACCTGCCGGATCAACCGTGACCGCAGCGAAATTTAAGGCTATTTCATTCAGGAACTGTTCGATTTCCTTCGACCAGGTCCGGTTTTTTGAAACAGTATTCGTGTTACTAAAGCTGAGGCAAACTCAAACTATCATTAGCTTCAAATCTGGCGCCTGAAGCTGTTTGTTTATACGCCGTTAAGTAGTCTGGTATATTTTGTCTGATAGACGACATACCTTCTACCGCTTCCGTACCTTTAGCAAGCTTCTTTCCAGACATAACTGCGAAATTGTGCTGTACAACTCTCCAACATCGACAGAGACTACATCTTATGGCCCATGTCTAATGATATATGCTTATTTAAAAAGGGTTCAAGGGAATAGCTACTCTGTCCACAAACCCTTCATTTTGTCTTGAATAAGAATTCGTCGAAATATTAACCGCGGGGGATTTGAACGAGCCGTAAAACAACGGAGTGGGGCTGGTGAAGACAAAAAAGCAAAGTAAGGTTCCCGCGTTCACGCACGGAACGCGCACTCGCATGAAAAGACGTCTGTGGACAGACCAGGAAATAACAAAGAGAAATCGACTGAAAAATCAACAGCGACAGATCCGTGTCATATTCGGCGAGGTGAACTTGAGGTCAGTTGCAGTGGTGTCAATTTATACTGTAGGAGAGGAGACAAAAAAAAAAAAAATCAAAATGACTTAGCTAAACGAGTTCGAAATAAATTTAGAATTGACGGTCCATATCAGTGATGTGACTTCATAAAGCCCTGATCAAACGGGCTCGCAGGTAGCCGCAAGTTAAACTTGCGTAGGGACTTGCGTTTAGGTGGCCAAACGAACTCGCAAGTTTCCTCGCAAGTTCACAAAAGTCACAAAAACTCATTTTAAGGCAGACAAATCCTGTATTTCATTGGCCAATAGGTTGGCTACAAAAATAAATAGACGTCACTCAACTTGCGTTGACTTGGGTTGGATGACCAAACGAAAAACTTGAGTCGACCTGGGTGCAAATTTGATCTCGACCAAAGTGAGCGCAATTCATCGAAAGTCAAGGAAGTGCACGCAAGGCCTTGGGCAAACGGAGTCGCCTTCAACTTGCGTTTACTTGCCCGTCCGTTTAGCCAGGGCTTTGGTTAAAGGCGCCTTAAATTCCAGGCCAAACCTGCAAGCATTCTTAAATAAGAAAAGTTTTGATACACGTCAATGTTTCCTTACTCCACACCCCCGGGGTTAATTTTGCGCCAACTGTACGGTATGTTGCCTTCCGGTAGTTTCTGGCGGGAAGCAGTATCCCACCAATAAGAATGATTAAATTTTTTATGCGTCGGGTTTTTTATTTATGGAAGACGAAGTATTCTAAATAACGAGTTTAACCCAGCGTCAACCCTTCGTTAGCATCCTGCTCTGACGAGGGGCTGACGCTCAAAACATCAGCTTCACAAACTCGCTACGGCGGTTAATTTACCTTTATTATCAACTTTAACCCATTGACTCCTGGAGCTTTTTGCCAAAAACGCATTTTTTAGACATTTTGGAGATTCTCAGGCTCGATATGGGCCAAATTAAATTAGCTCCAGTCTGCTCAAAAAGGCATTTGCAACATGACAGCATGCCTTTCTTTCCACTAGCATCGCATTTTACGACATTTTTGCTGGGGCATGCGCAGAAATCAAAATTTTGAGAAAGTGACCGATGTCTTAAGGCTTTTCGATTTTTTAAATTTTTTTTTCACCTTTCCTTTCTCTCCTTTCCTTTTCTTTTTGCCGCAGTGATTGACCTTCTACCGGGCTTGCTCCCAGTTTACAAATTCTGTGAAAGCATCATCGAGACGGGCAATTTTTACCATGGAGTAGCCACGTGTAGTGGCAGGAAATTTTGCTCTGAGTTTTTCACTCAACTTTTTGAGCATTTTTGCGCATGTGTCAAGCTCAGTGGAGCCGATCACTCTGATCTGGGTATCATTGGAAAGATCTTTTCCTCTTGCAGAAGTTGAGCATAGATGATGCCAATTTTGGTCAAAGGTGATGACGTCAAAAGTGGAACAAAGGCCAAGGCTCGTCACGTGCCGGTTACGACCGGTAGAGGAGTCAATGGGTTAAGTCGATAAATGGGAGTTTCACTTGCTCACCGCAGACGCCGCGCAACAGTTTCGTTTGTCCGCATACGAGCCAAGTGGCTCATCGATCAGGCCGGAGCTTATCCGGAGCTTATTACTGTTCGTCCGTAGGGCATTTTTGTGGTGTGTTGAAAAATGGAACTTTTTTAACAAGCGCTTTCTTAGATTCATACTTAAGGATTATAACTCGCCCTATGGTAATTTACTGGATAAAAATAATTTAAAACCTCTGCATATATTAGACGCCTCAAAAATTTTTTAGTTATACTATATATATAAGAGTCTAACGAGGAATAAAACACAAATAGCGGTGATAAACATATTAAACTTACGCATTTTAATAACTTGACGTTTCGTATGCTACGCAACATACATTTTCAAAAGTGGAATAAAGACCGTTACAATTTTTGAAAACTATATATGAAATGTAAATAAGGGGTCTGGATAATGATAATGTATCCAAGATATTTAAGTAATATGTTTACTCTGCGCTCTACAACCTATAGTTTACGCGGTAATTATATTGTCTCTTCCTGATCCAAAAACAACAACTTACGGCCAGCATTCCTTCTCATATTTAGCTGCTAAATTATGAAACTCTCTTCCGGACTCACTTAAAACCTCTACTTTTGCGGACCTTAAGCGAAAAATACTACAATATGACTCTTTTCAGTAGCATTGCAACTTATCTCTAATTTTATTATGTACATAATTTAGCTCTTTCATTATTTTTAGCATATTTATTGTACAAGTATTGTATTTTGTTATATCTGTGTTCTCGAACATATTAGCTAATTTTAGCCACCTAAAATTCGAGAGTAAATAAAGTATATGTATGTATGCGTGTAGGTATGTATGTATGAAGCGACTAGGAGTATTTCTACTCACCCGTGGATGGGATGCTAGTCCATTGCAGGGTTAGGGAACGCTGGGGGATAGCCCTGCGACGGACGGGCACCCCGTCCAAGCTAAGGGGAGTACCAACACTCCTACCCACTTTATGCCATAGAAATAGCAGTGACACGCAGGGGGCTATGAACCAGTTGGGATTAATAGGCTTAACCACTTTATTATTATTATTATTATTATTATTATTATTATTATTATCATTATTATGTTTTGAATAATATAAGTGATCTTTGCAATGCGACGAGAAAAGGTTCTGTATCATTCACACTGTGTCCTATTTTGCGAAGCCGCTTCCTATTAGTTGTCCAATATATATACATACAGCGAGCCTAGCATCCGACCACAGTTTTCGCATTTTAGTCTGGAGTCAAAGGCTGTCTTTAAATATCCAGGCGAAGCTAGTTCTGGTATGGTACATTGAACAGATCTGAATACTGAACCTCCAGTTGAAGAGAGCAAGGAGCAATAAGCACTTAACGACTGGTCCCAAGGAAAACAGTGAGTTTTGATGGTGTCTCCGAGGGGGAAACAAAACTCACTGTTTCAGTCCTGTGGGAAACAAAAGTGTTTTGTTACACTTTATTTCATTAGTATTATTTTGATTTATCACACAAACAAAAATAGAATTACAGTACGATGATTAATAAATTACAAAAATTAATAAACAAGATTACAATGAAGATACAAAACTGCAATTTGTATATTAAAAAAATGGCAAGGGAACCAAATAGAAACCACGGGGCTTGTAAGCTTAGGTTCCCTCTCAAGAAACACCAGATGACAAATTTAGATAAAGTAATTAATGACAAGCCTTATTTAATGACAGAGTTAATAGTTACCGATAATATATTTTCCTAAACGATGCCAGTGATGAAGAGTCAGAAATTTCAGGTGAAAGAGAATTTAAAAAATTCGGACCTTGATAGAATACGGAGAATTGCCGGATATTTGTTCTACATAATGGTAAACGAAAGGTGTTTGCATGCCCTGTATTGTAACAATGGAGTTTGTTGTTTATTGTGAATATGTTGTCAAATGTTCGAGGAGAATAGCGTTCTTAAACGAGAACATAAACTGACCTAGATGCATTAAATAAAAGCTTCTTGAAAATAGGTTCTCTACAAGCATTATAAGAGGACTTGTCCACTATCCTAATCACACGTTTTAGCGTTCACTTCCCAACTCAAAAATAGAAAAATCTGCGAAAACATTATTTGCTTGACGCCATCTGGCACAACAAATTTGCCGTGGTTTAGAGGTGCACGACCAGATCACTTCGAAGTCGAAAGTGCGGGTGTTTTTAAATTGACCCACGACACGTGACACCTCCTCAGGGGGCCATAATCAGGGACGGAGACCGTAAGTCTTGGGATCATAGATTTTCGATCCACGCAAACAGACAAAGTACCGCATATCTCAAAACAAGCTATAAAAGAAACAAAACCTACCTTGGCAATTGAAAGCTGGAAAAATACAAATGAAGTCTCCTAAAACCGATAAATGGTATACAAAAGCGAAGCGGCCAACACGGAGGAGACAAAAAATCCACTCGCACAAGCCAACTAACACCCAATCTTTTCATCTATAGGATCTAAACTAGTGCCCAGTCATCTAAGTAGAATTCCTTTCGATCACGTGACCGTCGTAAACAGACAAACTTTCAGCCGCCAACTTATTGTGGACTTCGCCCACACGAAGACGTTTGGGGGAAGGGCGGTGGCCTCATGGTTAGTGCGCTCGTCTCTGGCCTGGATCGAGCGGTCCGGGTTCGAGCCCTGGCCGGGGACATTGCGTTGTGTTCTTGGGGAGGACACTCTCACAGTGCCTTTCTCCACCCAAGTGTATAAATTGGTACTGGAGAACTTTCTGGGTGGTGGTCCTGGCCTGATATGGACTAGCATCACATCC